CTTTATTAATATTTATTCTTTATTTATTACTTTTGACCCAGGGCCTCTTCATGTTTGTTTTGTTTAGTTTTGACAGGGTTTCTCTGTGTAATAGCTCTGGCTGTCCTAGAACTTTCTCTGTAGACCAGGCTGTCCAAAACCCACAGAGATCATCCTGCCTCTGCATTAAGGTGCTGACATTAAAGGCTTGAGCCACGACTGCCCATCTGAGAAAGAGTCTCTTTATGCAACCCTGGATACCATGGAACTTGCTGTGTAGACAAGGATGGCATGAACTTTGCAGAGATCCACCCTGTCTGCCTCCTGAGTGCTGCTATTAAAGATGTGTGCCACCACACCTATTTAAACATATTTTCATTAATGTTTTACAAATTGCACACATGTACACAACATATTTTGATCATATTCCTCTATTCCTTCCCCTATCATGTCCCAGATCTACCCTATTTTCTTTTAGAGATTGAACTAGGTAGGGCCTCACTATACTTGGCAAATGCTTTGCCACTGAAACATATCCTTGATTGTCCCAAGATCTCATTTGTTTTTTTAGAAATGGTCTCTTGTAGCATAGGCTGGCCCCAAACTGTCTTAAATTTGTGAACCTCCTCCCTGCAATTACAGTGTGTGTCACCACACCCAGGTTTTTGTTTTGTTTTGTTTTTTGTTGTTGTTTTGGCTTCTTCAAGACAGGGTTCTTTTGTGTAGTTTTGGTGCCTGTCCTGGATCTTGCTCTGTAGACCAGGCTGGCATCAATCTCAGAGATCCTTCTGGCTCTGCCTCCTGAGAGCTGGGATTAAAGGTGTGAGCCACAACCGCAGCCTGGCCACACCCAGTTTTATCCAGTGTTAGGAACACACAATGCTAAGGCAAGCTCCCAGAAGTCTGAACTGCATCCCCAGCCGAGGTTAATAAAATTATTAATTGATTCATGTTTTAAGTTTGGGACATGATCTCACCAAATTTCCTAAGCTGCCTTACACTCACCCAGGAGGCCAGGCAATCCTTGACTTTATGATTCTCCTGCCTCATCTTCTCACTAGCTCATATCACAGGTCTATAAGACTTCGCCCGCTTAATTGAGTAAGTTCATTCCTCCTTGGGGCAGTTGGAGTGTTAGTTGTAATTTAATCTCAGGATGTCTGAAATGATATCTACAATAGTGTATAAAGCTTTCGGTTTTTTGTTGTTGTTTTGTGTTTTTCTAGACAGGGTTTTTCTTGGTAATTTTGGTGCCTGTCCTGGATCTCGCCCTGTAGACCAGACTGGCCTTGAACTCACAGAGATCTGTCTGGCTCTGCCTCCTGAGTGATGGGATTAAAGGCGTGCGCCACCACCCAGCAAAATAAGTCTTTCTTTAAAATGCTAAAAAGGACCAAAAAAGACAAAAGATTAGAATAGGCTCCTTGAGATTAGAAAAGTCTAACTGACTTGGAAGCAGCTGGGCCTTTGGCAACACAATCTTCCCCCTCCCTTACTCCCTCTCTACCTTTCTTTCTTTTTCAAGACAGGGAAGCAGTTCTCAATCTGTGGGTCTCAACACCCACACGTCCAATACCCTGGACATTGGATTCTTACTTTACAACTCACAACAGTAGCACATTAGAGTTATGAAGTAGCAACGAAAATAATCTTATGGTTGTGGGAGAGGTCACCACACATGAGGGACTTGATTAAAGGGTCTTGGCATTAAGAAGATTGAGAACCACTGAGATGGGGTCTCATGTAGCTAGGCAGGCCTCAGACTAAACAGCTGAGGATCATTTCTTTTTGTTTGTTTGTTGAGACAGGGTCTCTCTGTGTAACCCTGGCTGTCCTTGAACTCAATATGTAAACCAGGCTGGCCTTAAATTCAGAGAGATCTGCCTGCCTCTGCCTCCTGAGTGCTGGGATTAAAGGTGTATGCCACCACCTGGCTTCACAGAATCTTTATACATGGTAGAGTCGATATTGACTGCTTGGACATGGTTATAAGACAATAGAATACTAGGTGTTCAGGATTCCAGTGTAGCCCCGATCATTTCTCTGGGTGAGACATTAAGGACAAAAACTATAATCTTGGTTGACATAATTCACTTAACAACGGTTAGCCAGACACAGAACTACAGAAGCTGAAAAGCAAGGTTAGCTCATTTAGAGACTTTCCCAGAAGTCTGGACTTCAATAGACTAAGTCTTTGTTTTAGTTGTGGCAGGTGGTGCTGTCTATGTGCTGAGTTTTATGGCCAGAATGGGACTGTCATCATGGAGTCAGTTGTGCTAATGTCTGGATCCCTGTTACAGTCAATTCCCCGTATGCCCTCCCTCCCTGTCACACCACATGCGTGCCCTGTGCTCCAGGTCAGAAGAGGGTGTCAGGCCCTCTAGGACTGGAGTTACAGAGGGTTGTCAGCAACTAAGTGGGTGCTGAGAACTGAACCTGGATCCTCTGGAAGAGTAGCCAGTGCTCTTAACCACAGTGCCACCTCTCCAGCTCCTGTATCTCTGAGACTTTTAAAAGGACAGTGCATGAGAAAGACAAAAAAGAAGAGACAGACAGACAGGAACAGAGAGACATAGAGCCCGTGTCACAAAAGAATGTTGTCAGGAAAGGAAGGGTAGCCGTATTGCAGTAAGAACTTCTCAGCAGTTGGCCGATTACTGCCCATTGGTGCTGAGTCTAGGGTTGTTTTTCCTCTTTTGGGGGGCCTGACATCCAGCTCCCAAATAAAACAAAGAGTCTTATTCTTTTTTTTTTCCTTTGGTGGAGGATGCAGGCAGCGATGTCTTATTCTTAATTATAAATGCCTGCCCTTAGTTTGGATAATGTCTAGACAGCTTCCATTAACTTCAAATTATCCCACTAATCTTTTACCTCTGGGCATTTATCTTTCTGTATTCCTGTATATATTTTTTTCTTATTCCTTTGCTTGCTGTGTAGCTGGGTGACTGACCCCTGGAGTCCTCCTCCTTCTCTGGATACTTCTCCTTTTCCTCACAGATTTCTCCTTCTATATATTCTCTCTGCCTGCAAGGTCTGCCTATCCTTTCTCCTGCCTTGCTATTGGTCATTCAGTTCTTTATTAAACCATCTGGTGTTTAGACAGGCACAGTAACACAGCTTCACAGAGTTAAACAAATGCAATATAAACAAATGTAACACACCTGAAAATAATACTCTACAACATTCTAGAAATGCCAAGTCTTAGTATTTTTGTTCCAAGACCCTTGGAAAACAGGAAGCCATTGCTAACATGAGTGAATCCTGGTGACATTTCCACTTTCTGTTAAAGCTTTGCTCATACTAGATTGATGACTGATTTAGCATCAACCTATCTTTTATAAAAACAAAGGAGGGTCGGCAGGATATCTCAGAGGGTAAAGGCGCCTGCTACCAAGTCTGATGAGCTGAGTTCCATCCTGGAAACACACAAGGTGTCAGGAGAGAACCAAGACCTACAAATTGTCCTTTGACCCCTACATACACCCATACATCAATGATGTATACAAATATGAAATACTTTTTAAGGAAACCAGAACAGAGTGCCTGTGTGCCTTGCAGGTTTGGGAAACATTTATTATTTTTCATTTTAGAAAAGTATCTTATTTCTAAATCATTGAGTCAATATTAAATAACAATGAAGTGTGGGCAGAGTTTGGAAGCTGGTGTTAGTCAAGGATACCCAAAATTCTCTCAGAGTCCTGACACATTTGTTTTTTATTTAGAGTAAACTGACTTGCTTAATATTTAAGGACAAATTGAGAGGTGCAGGTTTGAAAGTGACCCGCAAATATGTGAGAAGGGGCTGGAGAGATGGCTCAGTGGTTAAGAGCACTGGCTGCTCTTGCACAGGACCCGGGTGGGTTTGATCTCAGCACCCACATAAGAGCTCCCAACACTCAGTAACTCCAGTCTCAGGAGATGCAGCACTCTTTTCTGAGCCCCTCAGGTACCAGCCACACATCCTGTGCAGGGGAGGCACCCATAAATATTTAAAGACCTGCAAGAAGGCAGGCAGTGTTGGCCAACGCCTTTAATCCCAGCATTTAGGAGGCAGAGAAGGTTGGGAATCTGAGTTGGAGGTCAGCCTGGTCTACAATGTGAGTTCCAGGACAGACAGGGCTGTTCCACAGAGAAACCCTGTCTGGAAAAATACAATATATTTATTAATGTAAATGGGGAGATACACACTTATAGAAGCTTTGTCCTTGGCCTGGTTACAAGTAATGTGTTGGAAAATCACATTTCACAGTGTTAGGAGACAACCATCACTCCCATTTTGTGACTCAATATTGACAACCTGAGATCTTAGTGATGGTTTCTGCTCTGCTGGGAGGCTGTCTCGAGTCATGTTGGTAGCCATGCCTTTGGAGAATATTCCCTTGGTTTCTGGTTAGAAATCTCTTTTTTTTTTTCAGGCATAAGATCAGCTTGGTGGTTCACTGGGGAGGTGGAGGCTAGTTGGGGCTACACGTGCCTGTTTCTCCACCGCCACTCTGTACCAGGCTCCCCGTGTTCTATACAACAGATTCAGCCTCAGCAGTTTTCTTTCAGTACCAGAACACAGACCAATGCAATGCTAAATTGTGAAGGAAGGACATGTGCCGAGGGTCCAGGCCCAGGCTGGGTGTGTGGCCATAATCCCAGGTGAGCGTTAAGACCTGGTTACACAGTCGGGCAGGGTCGCTCGCTGGTCCAAATGGTTGTCACCTGATCTTCTTTCTCACACAGTATTGTGTTGTGGATGGAGCCCCAGGCCTTGTTGGGTGGTGGTCCCCAGGGACCCTGCCCATGTCAGATAGTGTTCAGATTTGTGGCAGGAAGGGATGGGGCCAAAAAGCTCTCCATAACTCAAGGACTGAAGGAGTGGACCAGGCTGTCCATCCTGGGGCCCCTGGTGCTAAGGGACATTGCCTTCCATCTCTGCCAGGATCAACAGCAGACATTGTCACGAGGTATTTGCTGAGGACGCCTTTCTTGTTCCCATCTCTGGTTTCTTGGGTCTGTGATGCCACTGGGGGGTCTCAGCTGTCACTGTCCTCGCTGTCCCCATATGCACCCAGCTGGCTCAGGGAGGAGGCCCTGGGTGTCTGGAGTAAAAGGTTGACCGCCTTCCTGCTCTCGGGGGCACCTGTGGCGGGCATCCAGACCTGCTCTGAGCCCCCATTGGCTTCTGCCTTCAACTTCTTTGGCACAACCAAGCCGGCCAGCTGTGCCTTGCTGCCCACTGCCTCTGCCTTCCTCTTGGCCTTCGGCGCCTTGTCCAGGATGGCTGTGGGGTTGGGTCTTGCTGTTGCCGGTGGTCGGGAAGGCAGAGCTTCATCTTCTGAGTCAGAATCCTCTAGAAGCCTGCGGTGTCGAGCCTCCTCCAGCAAGGCCGCAGTCTCTCGCTCGTCTTCCTCCTCCTGCTTCTGTCGCCGCTGCTCCTGCGACAGGCGGTGCTGCAGCAGCATGGCCTCGAAGTCCACGTGCGCCTGCCGCTGGTTAAGGTCCTTCAGCTCCTGCAGGTTCTCCAGCACATCCATCTCAAGCTTGGAGTCCTTTGTGCGGTTCTCTAGGACCTTCATGGGGTTGTTCAGCTCCTCATCCTCCCTCTCCTTCTGCACACGGGTCTCCTCCTCCTCCAGGAGCTTCTGGGCCTGGAAATTGCGCGTAGCCCCGTGCTCCATGGAGTAGTCTGTGTTCTCCGGGTCTGTTTTGAACGTTATCTCGGCCAAGCAGCGCGGGCACTTGATGTAGAACCGGAAGATGGGCAGGCCCAGGTAGACCTCCTTCTGGACTGTTTCCTTGCGTGCGTTGAACTTTTTCCCTTTGTAGATGTATTCTCCACAGGTCTTACACCTCATGTTGAAGGGAGCCATGAGGCGAACCACGTACTGCCGGTCCTTGGGTAGCTTGAGCTTCGGGATCTTTGAAGGGTCGAAGTCAGGTGGGTAGTATTTGTTTAGAACTTTCCGTTCCGACATCTTCGCTTCCTCTCAGTCGCACAAGAGAGGGAAACAGTTCTCCTTGGTCCACTTGGAATTTATCTGACCAGGTGCCGAGGTTCTCTTGACGTCACTTCCTTGGCTGTCTTACAGGATGTAGTTTACAGGCTTTAGCGTTCTCATTGGCTGCAATCGCTGTCCATCAGTGTCGCGAGTGTGCTTTCCTTCCCTTCCTGAATGCCTGTAGGTGAGGCAGTAAATAAAGGTTCCGGGAGCATCTTGATCGCCTATGTGCAAGTGTGCCTCGCTGGAAAGCGCCAACAAAGCTACCTGGAGTCTATAGGGTTTTGTTCCGCACTGCTGCTCTATTGATATTGTTTGTTTTTGAGTCAGGGTCTCACTGTATGCCCTAGCTGTCCTGAAACTCACCACGTAGCCCAGGCTGGTCCCAAACTCATAGAGATCCTCCTGTCTCTGCCTTCCCAGTGCTGAGATTAAAGAAGTGGCTGCCCTGCCCCCGCTCTGTTGTTTCTTTGTCTGTTCGTTTCTGATGCTGGGTATCGAACCCAGGGTCTTTGCACTTGCCAGGCAGGCATTCTACCACTGAGCTACTACCCAGCCCTCGAATCTTTTTTTTTTTTTTTTTTTTTTTTTTTGGTTTTTCGAGACAGGGTTTCTCTGTGTAGCTTTGCGCCTTTCCTGGAACTCACTTGGTAGCCGAGGTTGGCCTCGAACTCACAGAGATCCGCCTGGCTCTGCCTCCCGAGTGCTGGGATTAAAGGCGTGCGCCACCACCGCCCGGCTAGCCCTCGAATCTTTTAAGACAGCCTCTCTCTAAAATCTGGTTAGAATTCTAACCCCTGTGTTCCAGAGGCAGAGGCAGAAGGATCTCTGAGTTTGAGGCCAGCTGGTGTACAGAGAGAAAACCCTGCTCAAAACACAAAAGCATATGGGTTTGGTGACTCAACCCATAATCCCATCACTGGAGACATTAAAAGAGAAAGTTTATTTGAAGTTAGCCTGGGCTACAGAGCAAAATTCAGTTTCAGAACACAAAAACAAATATATAGAAATTAGTTCATCCTAGTCTTCCAACTCTGTGTTCCTACACATGCTGTATTTAAAGAGTCAATGGTTCCTGATCTCATCTCCAAATGAGCACAGATGGGATCATTTCTGCCATGTGCACACAGAAGTAACAGTATTCTTTCTTGTTGTTGTTTTTTCCAGACAGGGTCTCTGTGTAGTCCTGGAACTTGCTCTGTTGAGAGATTTATTTCTGGCCATTGATTGTCACAGTGTGTAAAGGAGCATGATGCAAACAATGACCTGAGTTGGATCCCAGGAACCCATATGGTGGAAGGAGAGGACTGGATCCTGAAAGTTGTCATGTGTCGGCATGAGCATTTGGCACACCTTCCCTTACCCCATTCACATACAAAAAAAAAGTGAAATTTTTAAAAGAAATATTTTTTCCACAATAAAACATTTTAAGACATTTATAGTAAAACAAAGCCACAAGAGAAAAACAAAAAACAAAAGGCAAGTAACTTAGTGTTCTACTGCTGAGAAAAGACACCATAAGAAAGCATTTAGGCGATGGACAGTTGGCTGAGAGGATAAGAGCACTGGCTGCTCTTCCAGAGGTCCTGAGTTCAATTCCCAGCAACCACATGGTTGCTCACTACCATCTGTCATGGGATCTGGTGCCCTCTTGTGGCCTGCAGTCATACATGCTGTATACATAATAAATAAGTAAATCTTTTTTTAAAAAGCATTTAATTGGAAGCTTGCTCCCAATGTCAGAGGTTTAGTCCATTATCATCATGGCAGGAGCATGCAGCCCTAGTCCATGACCAGAGAACTAGGCATGCCTTCTCATTTATTTTATCTTATTGATTTTTTTTATCCTTTATTTATTTTTGACACTGGGCCTCTTCATGTTTGTTTTGTTTAGTTTTGACAGGGTTTCTCTGTGCAATAGCTCTGGCTGTCCTAGAACTAGCTCTGTAGACCAGGCTGTCCTTAAACCCACAGAGATCGTCCTGCCTCTGCATTAAGGTGCTGAGATTAAAGGCTTGAGCCACGACTGCCCATCTGAGACAGAGTCTCTTTATGCAACCCTGGATACTATGGAACTTGCTGTGTAGACCAGGCTGGTCTGAACTTTGCAGAGATCCACCCTTCTCTGCCTCCTGAGTGCTGCTATTAAAGATGTGTGCCACCACACCTAAGTATTTCATCATTTAAACATATTTTCATCAATGTTTTACAAATTGCACACATGCACACAACATATTTTGATCATATTCCTCTATTCCTTGGCCTATCATGTCCCATATCTACCCTATTATCTTTTAGACATTGAACTAGGCAGGACCTCACTATACTTTGCAAATGCTTTGCCACTGAAACATATCCTTGATTGTCCCAAGATCTCATTTGTTTTTTTAGAAAGGGTCTCTTTTAGTACAGGCTGGCCCCAAACTGTTTTAAATTTGTGACCCACCTCCCTGGGATTACAGTGTGTCACCACACACAGGCTTTTGTTTTGTTTTGTTATTGTTGTTTTTGGCTTTTTTGAGGCAGGATTTCTCTGTGTAGTTTTGGTGCCTGTCCTGGATCTTCCACTGTAGACCAGGCTGGCATCAAACTCACAGAGATCTGCCTGGCTTTGCCTCCTGAGAGCTGGGATTAAAGGTGTGAGACGCAACTGCAGCCTGGCCACACCCAGTTTTATCCAGTGTTAGGAACAGACAATGCTAAGGCAAGCTCCCTGAAGTCTGAACTGCATCCCCAGGCAAGGCTAATAAAATTATTAATTGATTCATGTTTTAAGTTTGAGACATGATCTCACCAAATTTCCTAAGCTGCCTTACACTCACCCAGGAGGCCAGGCAAACCCTGACTTTATGATCCTCCAGCATCCTTTTCTCAATAGCTCCTATCACAGTTCTACAGGACCATGACCGAATAGTTTAATAAGTTCATCCCTTCCCTGTGGCAGTTCCAGGGTTAACTTGTAATTTATCTCACGATGTCTGAAATGACATCTATAATGGTGTCTAAAGGCTCCAGGTGATCACTGATAATTAGCAACCGGAAGACAGTCCCTTGAATCTGAATAAAAGCCATGATCCTAGAGGTCCTGTAACTTTACAGAGAGATCTCAGAAGACTCAAGGCTGCTGCAGGCACAAAGACAGGACCTAGAGGTAAGTGAACCAGGGACGAAGTTGGGTTTAGGGAGGCTGTGTTTTTGGATGCAGACAGAAATTGGCTGCTGCAAATTTAGCTGGGCACGAAGTACCTGCAACGCCACACAAGGGAACTGATGCAGGAGGATGCCATGCCGAGTTCCCCGCTGTACAGGGCCACAAGGTGAGGCGTTCACAGCAAACCAACAGAAGGACCCCCAAGTACCAGAACTCCTCCTGTGTCCTTTGATGAACATCTTTCTTCCTCGGTGTCGGCTCCTGGTAATTACAATGATGCTGTTGCAGACTCCAAGGACATTTTCCACTTAGCTCGGGTCTGTATCCCTTGACCTTCTCATTGCTGGGACTAGTGGTTGCCTGCTGGTATTTGTTTATTTATTGATTTTCTTTTCAAGTGGGGTCTTGTTCCAGATTGACCTGGAACTTGACCCTCAAACCGCAGCCTTTGGAGCTGTAAGCAGAGTTAGGCATAGTGCCCAGCCTGCAATAACTGTTTTTATTTTAAAATTATCATTTTTATTATTAAAATAAAGAATTAGTCCAGGTACTAGGCACACAGAGAAAGGCAGATCTCTGAATTGGAGTCTAGCCAGAGCTCCACAGAGAGACCCTGTCTCAAGAACCATTTTGTGTGCTGTGGTCATATCTCAGCAGTTAAGAGCACCCACTGCTCTTCTAGAGAATCCAGATTTCATTTCTAGTGCCCAGACACTCACTATTGCCCACATCTCCAAGGCCACCAAGTCCTGTGCACTAGGCACAAATATGGTCCACAGACAAACAAGCGTATGTAACATCCATACACATAAAATTTAAAGTTACTAATTTTTTCCCCAAGCATCGTGGTGCACAACTTTCATCCCAGCACTCTGGAGAGCATGCAGCCTCGTCTTTAGATTCACTATATATCCTGGCTGATCTGTAAATCAGTGTGTAGACTATGCTGGCTCACAGATCTGCCTGCCTCTCCCTCGCTGGGATTAAAGAAGTGAGTCACCACATCCAGCAGCAATTCTGTGAGTTTGTAAACGTGTAAGCTGGGAACTGAACTCTTATCAAAAAGAGCAGCCAGGGTTCCGAACCAACTCTGCTTCTTCTTGCTTTTTGGTTGTTTTTTAGACATTGTCCCACTGCATAGCTCTGGCTGGTCATGGACTGACAGATCTACCTGCCTCCACCTCCTAAATCCTGGGACTGCAGGTGTGGTGGCTCCCGTCTTTAATCCCAGCAGTCCAGAGGTGGAGGCAGGCAGAATCTCTGAGTCGGGGGCTCCGTGGTCAACAGAGCAAGTTCCAGGTCAGCCAAGTCTATATGTAGACCCTATCTGGAGAAAAACCACAACAAAAAACCAAACTGTTACTTCTGTGTGCAGATGGTGGAAACGGTCCTACCTCTGCACATTTGGAGATGAGATCAGGAACCATTGATTCATTAAAGCCAGAATGTGTAGGAACACGGAATTGGAAGACTAGGATGAGTAAACTTCTGTATATTTGTTGTGTTCTGAAGCTGAATTTTGCTCTGTAGCCCAGGCTAGCTCCAAACAACCCTTCTTGTTTAGTTTCTCCAATGCTGGGATTATGGGTTGAGCCACCGTATCCATATGCTTTTGTGTTTGGAGACAGGGTTTCTCTGTAGACCAGGCTGGCCTCAAACTCAGAGATCTTCCTGCCTCTGCCTCTGGAGTTTAGGGATTAAAGTTGTGGGCCATGTTCTTGGATTCTGAGAGAGTCTCTACAACCCTCATGTCTTTTAGACTTGGTACTTAATACATAACCAAGGCTGCTTTCAAAATTATGGCAAGCATCAGGCTCCACCTCTCCCTTGGCTGGGATTACAGATGTTCCATCATACACAGCTGGACTAGAGTAATTGATTTTTTAAATTATCTTGGGGAATGGG